ATTTTCAAAACATTAATAGTTAATTAAAATTACTAGTGTTATGTTTATAAATAACATTTAAATCAAAGGGGAACATAGTTTAGGTTACAAGAATGTTACTGCAGTCTCTTGTCTATTTCCTGATTTCAGTGGGATCATTCAAATCCTTGGCTCTATGGCTGAAAAATGCCCTTCACAGTTAACAAAGAAATTATTTAATCTCTTAAACCACTTGTAGATTCTGTATTGAATGTAGCACTTTCAACTCCTTACAAAAACTTTGGCTCCTTTTGTATACCAGCTTATCAACCATATACTGTATGATGCTATATTAGCGCCATCAGCTATGATATCAAAATACATTTTCAGACCGAGACTATGAAAAATTTATTGTTAGAAACATATTTGAAGGCTATTCTTTGATTAATCACATAACAAAATGTCTCCCATCAGTTTGTCAAACTTGTATGAAACAACGTTGTTTACTCTGGCCTTCACTTAGCAATTTCAACCTTCTTAGACTTAGCAAGTTTACAGTTTTATCTAAAAAAAATCATTGGTGTTAATGCTGGCCATTAAAGACGGTAAGTTACAGAAAACTCAAATTTAAATGAATGTAAGTGGTCCCAAAACTAATCAGCATGCAAACCAAAAAACATCTACTTTATTTAAAACACTCCAAAGCTACTAGTCAGACCCAACATTCGAGGTTTAATTCTGTTCACCTCTGTGGTAAGCAATTATTTTCAATTACCAAACTACTTCAATGTTGCAAAATCTATTCAATTTGTTGCAAGTACAATAAGACAATAAGTCTCAGTCACTTAGAATCGTGAATGCAACACAATTGCATCCATCAGGATTGTTTGAAGATGATAAAAAGATTAAAGGTGGATAGAAATCCAATGCATTTAACCTACATCTGATAATAGTCATAGTCAATTCTGATAATGAGTTGAAATTTTAACAACACAACATCCATATCATTGGTTTGGTCAAGGAGAAATGACCTGGGAACAGGTGGAATCAAACATTCACAATATCACTTTAAATGAATCATATAACGATTAATAAATCATATGAAATCCTCTTGTTCTATGCTATACTGCATACGACAAAGAGCTATAACTCTGCAGAACTGTCATCAATTGCAGTTTTGTCATGGCATGGGCAAAATTTTGCCCGCATGTGGCGGATGTCTTCACATGCTCAGCTTTATTTGCTCTCATGTGAAGACATATGGCCGAATTTTGCTAGAAGCTCGCTGCTGATCCTGTTATCTTCCAGGGTCCGTGGCCAATAATTGGGCTTATGTCATTCTATGAACCTTCTACATCATTCACTGTTGAAAAAGTCGATGTAGTTCATGGTCCTGGTAATACATCGATACCTGCTCATTGCAATGCAGGTATCATTGTATATCATAGAATATCATTGTATATCATTGAATATTGTTGCATATCATTGAATATCGTTGTTTATCATTGAATATCGTTGTATCTTTGAATATTGTTGTATCATTGGATACCATTGAATATCATTGAATACCATTGTATATCATTGAATATCGTTGAATATCGTTGCAAATCATTGAATATCATTGAATATTGTTGTATCATTAGATACCATTGAATATCATTGAATATTGTTGCATTTCATTGAATATCGTTGAATATCATTGCAAATTATTGAATATCATTGAATATTGTTGTATCATTGGATACCATTGAATATTATTGCATATCATTGAATATCCCTGAATACCACTGAACTATCATTGTACACATTTAGTAGCAGTTATTCAATATACACTTTGTGTATATCATTGCATTGATACTTTATGTACATCATTGTATTGATACCTTGAGTACATCATTGTATTGATAATTCATTTTGACTATTGGTCAATAAAGCCATGACAAAACTGCCAATCACTGTTAATCTATTTTGTCGACATAATCAGACTTAACTCAATATGAGTTAAGTCACGTTATGGAGACAAATAGAAATATGGTCCAGGAAAGATAACTCTAATGCAAATGTATATAACTGCTTAGCTACATCCATTACGCATGTGCATTTTACTCTTCCTTTTCCATCTCTGTCATCCATTGAAGCTCAGCATCCCACCCACCCTCCCCATTCACTAGATTTTAATTAGCCGTTATTTTATTTTGAAAAAGTTGTTGCTGCTGTCTTTGATTTCTTTTTCAGTCATCATCAATTCCCTTGGCTACCAACAGAAGAATGCGTGACATCCTTTCCCTTGACTACCAGCAGAAGACTCCATTACATTTCCTCTTGGCTACCAAAAGAAGAATCAATTACATTTGATTCCTTGGCTACCAGCAGATGAATCCATTACATCCCTTCCACTTGGCTACCAGCAGAAGAATCCGTTACATTCGATTCCTTGGCTACCAGCAAAAGAATCCATAAGCGTCATGGCTTTTCTTATGTATCATTTAACTGCGGTGTTTCTGGACTTTTTACGGACTGTGAAACGAATTTTGCTAGAAGCTCGCTGCTGATCCTGTTATCTTCCAGGGTCCGTGGCCAATAATTGGGCTTATGTCATTCTATGAACCTTCTACATCATTCACTGTTGAAAAAGTCGATGTAGTTCATGGTCCTGGTAATACATCGATACCTGCTCATTGCAATGCAGGTATCATTGTATATCATAGAATATCATTGTATATCATTGAATATTGTTGCATATCATTGAATATCGTTGTTTATCATTGAATATCGTTGTATCTTTGAATATTGTTGTATCATTGGATACCATTGAATATCATTGAATACCATTGTATATCATTGAATATCGTTGAATATCGTTGCAAATCATTGAATATCATTGAATATTGTTGTATCATTAGATACCATTGAATATCATTGAATATTGTTGCATTTCATTGAATATCGTTGAATATCATTGCAAATTATTGAATATCATTGAATATTGTTGTATCATTGGATACCATTGAATATTATTGCATATCATTGAATATCCCTGAATACCACTGAACTATCATTGTACACATTTAGTAGCAGTTATTCAATATACACTTTGTGTATATCATTGCATTGATACTTTATGTACATCATTGTATTGATACCTTGAGTACATCATTGTATTGATAATTCATTTTGACTATTGGTCAATAAAGCCATGACAAAAACTGCCAATCACTGTTAATCTATTTTGTCGACATAATACTATAATCCAGAAAATTCAGATTAGATATGTTCGAAAGCAAAACAAACACACACATATATATATATATATATATATATATATATATATATATATATATATATATATATATATATATATATATATAATTTAAGAAAAATCCAGTGTTTTGGTACAGTAAAATATATCCAATGAAAAAAGTCAGAAATCACAAATCTCGAAAATCATTTTTACTGTTAGCGCTTTCTGCCTAATGGCTCTTCAGACAGTTAAAAGTTAAATATAAAATTGCTTAGTAACGTTCATAAGCACGACGTCAAGTATTGTCCATTGTGACGTCATAATAACGTTAAAAGGTAGCATTATAATTCGCAACGTTACAATCACTTAAATAAACCAAAAAACAAGTAGAAAATAACTTTAGTTAAAACTGAAGTAATTATTTTCTGTTAAGTTTTGGGTTAAATAGTTTAATGAAGTAGTCCTCCTTTGCTACTCTGGATATTTCACAGTCATTGTGCATTTTATAAAATGGAAATAATTTAAATTTCCCTTTCCCACAGGTAGCAAAGTGCGTTCAGTTTGCCGGTTATGCATAACCTGTCCGACCTGTGATGAAAACTACATAGGACAAACCGGCAAACTGAACGCACGAGTGCGAGTCCATAAACAACAAATTCGGGACCCTAGCGTAAGGAATACGCCGTGCAGTGAGCACTTTGCTACCTGTGGGAAAGGGAAATTTAAATTATTTCCATTTTATAAAATGCACAATGACTGTGAAATATCCAGAGTAGCAAAGGAGGACTACTTCATTAAACTATTTAACCCAAAACTTAACAGAAAATAATTACTTCAGTTTTAACTAAAGTTATTTTCTACTTGTTTTTTGGTTTATTTAAGTGATTGTAACGTTGCGAATTATAATGCTACCTTTTAACGTTATTATGACGTCACAATGGACAATACTTGACGTCGTGCTTATGAACGTTACTAAGCAATTTTATATTTAACTTTTAACTGTCTGAAGAGCCATTAGGCAGAAAGCGCTAACAGTAAAAATGATTTTCGAGATTTGTGATTTCTGACTTTTTTCATTATATATATATATATATATATATATATATATATATATATATATATATATATATATATATATATATATATATATATATATATATATATATATATATATATATATATATATATATATATATATATATATATATATATATATATATATAGTCCGTGCAGTTGTGGTAAGCAGACTGTGACGATTGAACGCACCCCGTGAATTATAAACATCAACAATAACAGAACTCGTGCCCTGTTTACATAAACTGTGTACATAACACGAGTGTAATCATTTGCAAAACTCTGTACACAACTGAATGACGATACTTGTGAAGGAGTTTTGTTTTTTTAACATTTCTACTCTGAATAAAATTATTTTTCTGGATAAAAGTGTTTTAATATTTTTCATTAATACACAACAAGATTGCATCTTTTCTTAAGGATTAAAAATAAGGAAAAAATTAGTGAAAGTGCAAGGATGTGTCAATCAAACCCGCCAAAAAATTGAAGTTTGAATAACTTTTAAATGAAATAAGATTTTTAATTAATTTTTGTCAATGCTTTCAAAATATGTAAGTCGTAAAATTTTAGAGAAAATATTGACTTCAAATCTGTGTCCAAGTACCTTTAACAGTTTCGTTGCACATTCCCACCACCTACACCATACTGGGCTTGTATGCAATGATTTACAGTTTCTCATTATAAAAGGCTTTTTTTATAGTAGAAATTTATATTATTGTACACGTGGTTTATAAAACTACATAAAACTAGATTTTTAAATAAATGTTTAAAATATTTGATTACAGATCCTCCGTCCACTGACCCTGTCATCACAGCCTCCCCTCCAGGACTTCAGTACAACACCGTAACTAGAGTCACTTTGACCTGTCAACTACCAGGAGGAAACCCTGTAGCCACGTTGTCATGGAGATGTAAAAACACAGTAATGACAGGAACCAATGAGAGTACCTCTACTACAGCTGTCTCTGTGTTGTCATTGGTGATGGATAGTTCCTACAACAATCAGCAGTGTACTTGTACAGCTACTCACAGTCTCCTTACCAGCCCTAGATCAACGAATGTGTCATTCACTGTATTTTGTAAGTCAAATATGGTATATTGGTAAACATATCAACATACACAACTTTCTTTTACATCAATCGGGTGTTCATGTAATTGATAATGTAACATTGTTAATTTAACGACTGTAGAATTTGCGTAAAGGTGATTTTAAACAGGAATGCAGCAATTCTTGTACTATTAATTTCTTTGTCAGGCTTGCCTCGGTTTAAAACTGAGCATGCACAGGGCTTTGTCTTGTTTATCAAATCATTTGCAATGGGTAGATATGAATGCCAGCTGATGATGGAATGCCTAATTAAAAAAAAGAAGACAAAAGTATTTTAAATTTATGACATTTGACCCCTTGAACTCAAAACAAATGAAGATCTTACTCAGGACATAGAAAATTGTGGAAAATTTCCTTGCAAAATTAAAGTTCAAAGCTTTTTTCGAGATATCGCGTAGAAATGAAAGTGTTACAGAATGACGGGCATAAAAACCGAAATTAATTCCCCCTTTCAACGGGAAAAACATGACGTTGAAGCGCATCATATGCATGGAGCAGCAAGTGACAAAAAAAATTTTTTTGCATTCGGGAAACCTTTAAAAGTAAACGCACTCTGAAAATGCTGAAGGAACCAGGAAAAATATAAGACTGAGTCGTGCATTAGTATATTATAGAAAATACAATTTTTGAGTAGCATAGACTTTAAATCGGACAATTCACAGATAGAAAATAGATTATAGACGTTTAAAATATTGTCAAAACATTATGTACATAAGATTTCTTTTGCGGAAATTATGAAAGCAAAGTTCCGTGAAAAAGAATTTAAATCATTTACAAAATACTTAAGCTTCTCGAATAACTGTAACAATTAACAATAGCTTTGATTGATCACAAACAATTTGGAAAGCCTTTAACACACATTAGAAAAGATTTATATGTATACATATACATGTACATGTACTTTTTTATCTAACTAAACGTCGTTCAAATTTAACTCTAAATTATTTTTTTTATTGTTTCCTCTTTTTCCCTTTCAGAATTGACCAATTCAAACATTTAGCATTTATTTTAATTCATTCAGAATATAACTCTCCGAGACCCAATCTAAATAATTTTAGATTTACATCACGCGCCCAGTAAATACACGCTCCTGATCTGTTCTCCGTATCATATCAAATGTATTGTATAAGGAATTTATAATTCGGGGTCTTTTTGTTTTTAATAATTTAATTTCATGATTTTCAGTGTTTTTAATAATAGAGAGGTTAAACATTTCAACGTGTACGTCAACCTAGATGTGATTTTACACGTACGAGTAACTATCATCGTGTTGAGTTCTGTTTAACAAACTGCACGTGTACTGGTACGAGTAAAACGTCATTTCAGCAAGGCACCTGACAATCCATTTGTATCAAATAAATCTTAGACCTGCAATAAAAAAGATACATTGGAGTACGTAATAAATTCTCAACTTCGTACAAAACGACGGCTGAAAAATATATATTCTGTATTAATAAGTGGATATATATCGCTCCAACTCTCTAGATTAATTTTACGAAAGAATAAATAAAGTTAATAAATTTCTAGAGATACATGAAAAACTGACTGCTTCCAAACAAAAGAACTTCCAATATATGTATCAAAGAGTTGACAAAGGGTTTTCAGTTGTGTTGTTATTACAGTTTAAATCGAATTAACCGTTAAAGTCTAAATATAATCTTAGGAAAAGATTTGACAATTCCCAAAATTTCATGATTATAAGTCCATGAAAAATTAACGCTTCCTCTTTTCCTGAATACTTGAACTTTGGGTTTTGCAGTGTAACGCGTCAAGTATATTGTGTAATTCTTCTGGTGAGTTAGCGAAATTATTACACTATTCAACAAGATATAATCTAGTAAATGATTCTTTTTTGTAGGTTTTCAATTGTATACTGTGGAATAATTCTCATCCATAGTAATAATTTAGTTTAGTACATTTGCTGTTTTTTTAATTAATTTGCGATCATTTTTATTGACTGGATTTGTTGACGTCTTTTTTAAAGCATAAAGTTAATGTAACTTTGCGTATTTATCGTGCAGAGCAAGGAAGAAAAGCTCTTTTTAGTATTCAAAGTAAACTAAATGACTACTACTTTAATGTCCAAACAAAATGCTCTGTTTTTGACACCTATGTCAATAGTATACTTTTGTATGCGTCGGAAGTATGGGGTTTCAACAAAGGAATTGATATCGAAAAAGTCCATACTATGTTCTGTAAAAAAAAAAATTTAGGGTTAAAAAAGAATGCTAGTAACAAGCTTGTTTATCATGAACTTGGTAGATTTCCATGTCACATTTTAAGGAAAATAAAAATTATGAAATATTGGTTAAAATTAAGAAAAACAGAAAATTGTATCCTTAGGACATGTTATGAAGAAATGGTACAGGAAAATGATGAATGGATTGTAAATATTAAAACAGAACTGGATAGATTAGGACTAAATTCCTTGATGAATACAAATTATGATGATAAATATTTTATTAAACTTATTGAACAAAGAATGAAAGATATTTACATCCAAGAATTAAGATCAGAAATCGACAATATGCCAAAAGCTAATTTGTACAAATATCTTACAGATACACATTGCCTTCAATATTACCTCAATAAACCTTTAAGTGCTAAAAATCGAGAAATAATTTCAAAGTTTAGGATGTCTGATCACAACTTATATATTGAAAGGGGTAGATACACAAATACCAATAGAAATGACAGAAAATGCATATTGTGTACTCTAAATGAAATAGAGGATGAATTTCATCTAATTTTACAATGTCCAACATATGAAAATTTAAGGAAGAACTATATTAAAAAATATTATTATCAAAATAGTAGTGTATATAAATTAATACAGTTACTAAGTGTTCAAAATGTAAGGGAATTAAGAGGTCTGGGGAATTTTTTAAGAGAAGCTTGTAATTTACGAGAAAGTAAAATAAATTTATTATAATAATGAGTAATATTGATTCACTATTATGATACATGTAGTACATAAATATGTATGTATAGATATGTACATTTATTAATGCTTGTGTAAATACATTGTAATATATGTTTACATGGCAATTAAGTATATTGTATGTAACTACTATGTTAATCTGATGTATCTGCTGATACAAGGAATAAAAGAATTGAATTGAATTGACCCAATTAATTATACGGGAAGATGACTCTCACTCTCGAATGATTCAGGTCAATCTAAGTGTTTGATGCAATTGAACTTTAATAATTCTGATTCTGGAAATAAGAAAAATAGCAGAGAGAGATTATATTTTGACTATATTACCTTACGTTTTGACCTTAATGTAACGAGTTATTTCTTCAGAAAATTAAAGTGGTCACACACTAGAACAATACCGTTACATTTTTCAATCTATTTTTGGTATCAATGTTTGAACAGAAAATCTCAAAAAATCTCAAAATTATATTTTTCTTAAATAACTTTTAAGAAGCTGTGATTTGATATATAACACAAGCGATAAATACTAAATATAAAATTTGACTTGTGGATGCTATTGTTTTGCTAGCAAAATAGGTGTAAAGTTTTATAGATATGTTTTTAATTATCAATTTAACGAGGAAGACGCTACAAAGCTTGTATAAAATAAAACGGCAGAGTAATTTTGAGAAACTTTCTCAACGTTGTTTTTGACGTTACAATGTTGTTAACCGTGCTCCGTTGGAACAAAACATGTTCCTTTTAGAATTTGCCAACGCGCATTATTCAATTTGTCGGCACGGCTAGGTGTGTAATAGGGCCGAAGACATAACAAAATATGAATGCAATGCTTAAATCTTAAAGAGTTAGCATCAGATAAAAATCAAATTTAAGAAATATTAACATGAATATAAAGATAAAATTATCTTTTATTTTAAATCATAGATCCTCCATCTACTGCCCCTGTCATCACAGCCTCCCCTCCAGGACTTCAGTACAACACCGGAACTACAGTCACCTTAACCTGTCAACTACCAGGAGGAAACCCTGTAGCCACGTTGTCATGGAGATGTAAAAACACAGTAATGACAGGAACCAATCAGGGTACCTCTACTACAGCTGTCTCTGTGTTGTCATTGGTGATGGATAGTTCCTACAACAATCAGCAGTGTACTTGTACAGCAAGTCACAACCTTCTTACCAGCCCTAAATCAAGGAGTGTTTCACTCACTGTATTTTGTAAGACAACTATATCATTTTAGTAATACATATCCCCTTTCTTTTACATCTCTCGGATGCATAATATGTAATTGATAAAATGTGTACTATTATTGGTATATAATTTAATTTTGTTTATATTCTCGCCTCTCATTGGTTGATTTCCAAAAAGGAACGCAAAATATTTTGTATAATCTTGTTTATGGAGACACACCCCCTTGACGACCAGCTTAATCATCTTTTCCATGCAATCCCCTCATTTCAAGTCTTCGGAATCCATGGAAAATTCAAGATTTAAAAACTGTATCTTTAAATTCAAACACTTACTCGATCTTACCTCATGTAAACACACATCATGGCTGCGAGATCCATGTGTCAGTTATTACCTCCCCTCGCTTCACATCACTTCCGTTACTACGGTTGTATTAATGCGCGGTGAATTTGCGCTCGAAAAAACAAAAGAATTTTACATCCAAAGTTGTTAAATTATTTTAAAATTAAATTATAAGGAATGACTCTAATTCTTGGCCAAATTATCGGGGATAATCTGGTTTGGGTCAGTATACGCTTTTTTTATAATTCGCTTCGCGGATTATAAAGGGTAAACTGACCCAAACCAGATTATACTCGATAATTTGGCCAAGAATTAGAGTCATTTCTTAAATGGAATTTGTTGATTGATTGCAATGTAATTGTTTATTGCTTAACGTCCTTCTCGATATTTTTTCACTCATATGGAGATGCCACAACTTGTCGGTGGAGAGCTATTGTCGGTACTCAGGGCCATTGAGCAGGGATTGATCTTTAGTTTAAACCATATTTTATTTGAACATGACAAGTAAGAAATACAGGCAAGAAGTACAAAGATCAAAAAGGATTCGGAAACAAGTTTTAAAAACTTATACTAATCCGTTTCCATAGTATTAATGATAAAGATGACAGACCTTTATTAGATAGTTACATAACACGGTTTTAAGCTGTATTTCAACAATATTTGAGATTGACATACATAATGAATATGAAATCATGTTAAATTAAACAAATGGAACACGTTTTAATGATACGGAAGGAATCTAAAAGATGTACAATATTTATGTGAAGAAAAAAAACAAACAATAGAAAGTGGTTGAATTAAAGTAGAAGATAATTAAAGAATAAGTACAGGTGCAGTAACAAATATAAATACTTTGGGAAATATATCAAAAGATTGGGGATATAATGAAGAAGAAAAAAATGAATGACGCTTGCCACATGCCGTTGACAGGATATACACAGGAAATAATATACCCAAGAGAGATGGATTAGTGAATATTTACTATGGGAAAACTGATCATACGAATCTTTTTGTAGCTAAAATTATTTTTTTGACAGATTTAAATAACAGAACGTCATCTGCGAATGAAAGATTTTGGTCACCAAATAATAATATATTGGAGTTTATGTAATACGGAAGAGTATAGATAAATCTATCTCTGAGATCTTTGAAATAGGGACAGTGTAGGAGAAAATGTTCAGAAGTTTCAATCTCACCACAATTACAGTTAGGGCTATTGACAATATTTCGAAAAAATAAATGACTTTTTGGTGAGCTACAATCGAGACGTAGTCTTATGTGCAGTATTTGTTCCTTACGTTTACCAGTATAACAAGAGGCCCAGGGACCACATCGCTCACTGAGCAATTGGCTAGGAAAATCACATTTCAGATCAGATCTGAAAGTTTATTGAGGTGGGGGGGGGCTTGAATTTTAACCCGGGGGGGGGGGGCATGATTTGAACAAACTAGAATCTACACTACCTGAGGGTGGTTCAACAAGAGTTTCATCTTTCCTGGCCCAGTGGGTTCTTGAGAAGAAGATTTTTTAAAAATGCCATTAATTTTTAAAACTTGATCGGCCATTTTGGCCCCACCTTACCCCCAGGGGTCATGATTTGAACAAACTTGAATCTACACTAGATGATTCCCCATCTTTCCTGGCCCAGTGGTTCTTGAGAAGAATATTTTTAAAAAATGCCATTAATTTTTCTCTAATTCAAATTTATCTCCCCTTGGAAAAGGGTATGGCCCTTCATTTGAACAAACTTGAATCCCCTTTACCCAATGACACTTTGTAGCAAGTTTGGTTGAAATTTGCCCAGTGGTTCTTGAGAAGAAGGACAACGGACAAATTTAATCAGAAAAAAAATTGGCCAAAGGCTCAAGTGAGCTAATAATATTGAGGGGGATTGCGAATTGGATTTTTGACATTTAAATAGCGTTTTAAATTAGAAAGCGAAGGGTTCTATTTAATAGAATCAGGTTACTCGTTCCAAAGTTTGATGGTTTGACGGGATGAAGGAATTACTATAGTAATCAGTTCTACATTTGACTTGCTTTATGTTACACTTTTGTCAGTGGAATGATTGTGTATATCTTGATTTTGCGGTGGGACTAGATCTGAGAGGTATTGGGGAGTTATGCCGCATACCATTTTGTGAAACTGTATAATTTTATGTTTATATCTCCTGTCTTTTAAAGATTCTCATCCAGTCTCCTGATAAAGACGATTAAGACTTACGAGTTTATATGGAACGCCATGGCTGCCTTATGTTAGATGATTTTATTATATGCTGTACGTTTATAATTATATGCTGTGGATCTATTATTATATGCTGAGGGTTTATAATTATATGCTGGGGGTCTATAATTATATGCTGTGGATCTATTATTATATGCTTTGGGTCTATTATTATATGCTGTGGATCTATTATTATATGCTGTGGATCTATTATTATATACTGTGGTTGCATTATTATATGCTGTGGTTTCGTTATTATATGCTGTGGGTCCATTATTATATGCTGTTGGTTCAAAATTATATGCTGTGGATCTATTATATGCTGTGGTTACGTTAACATGATATGTTACTATATGCCGTGGGTTCATTATTATATGCGATGGGTTTATAATTATATGCTGTCGATCTATTATTATATGTTGTGGTTTCATAATTATATGCTGTGGGTTCATTATTATATGCTGTGGGTTCAAAATTATATGCTGTGGTTCTTTTATTATATGCTGTGGGTTCATAATTATATACTGTGGGTGTATTATTATATATTCTGTCGATTTATTAGAAACTTGCAATTCAAATCCAGACTTCTCGTTTTTGGAGTTTAGCTTGCTTAAAGTGGCTGCAACTGCAACAGGGCTTTCCGTAATAGGAATGAGAGAACCAAATCCCCGAGTGGTGCCACAAATAAAGCCATTTGCTTATCCGGGGATTTGGTACTCTCATTGAGCGCTAGCAACTACGTTGGTTCAATTTCCTTGAATACGCATGATCGTCGTGCATTCCGGGAAAATTGTGAAAACTACCATAGATAGACCGTGCGATAACAATTTCGTTCTATCATTAAATAACTTCGTTTATTTATTGTGTAGTTTACACTTAAAAGATAACTGCATAATTGTAATACACATGTACTTCAAATTTTTCTTGTTTTCTGACGGAAAAGCCCGAGTCATTATCTGATTGTTCTAAACAAAGACAAGGGAGGTTTTTTGCTAGCGCTCGGCTTCACGGTCGGGCATTCTGAGAAAACTTTACAGGTTCTAACTGTTTGTAAAAACGACCATAGATAGATTGTTATATAACAATTTCGTTGTGTCATTATGTAACACGGGTCTTTTCTGTTTGATTCTGAAGTTTGGTTATTTACAGTGTAACTTACACATTAATGTAAACTACACAAGAAAAAACTTAGGTCATATACGTAATGCAAAGATTCTAGACATCTAGCTTGCGAGTTCTACCACCTTCCTGGATAATGCCGTTAACCTCATAAAAATCTCTTTTTTTCTTTTCAAAGTTTATTGAATTGGCAAGACATAATAAGTGATTGATACAATGCACTTCCACACTAATATAATTTTAATTCTGTAAAAATACACTTCACATATTAAAGATTATAACTCTAGCCATCAGACTTCATAGTCATTAAACATTAAAAACTTTAGCAAAATAAATTAGTTGCCCAGGAATCTTCCTTTCTCCAAAAACGAGAAATCCCGATCCGAATAGCTAGTTTCTAATAAACCGACAGAATATATAATAATAATACACCCACAGCATATAATAATGAACTCACAGCATATAATAAAAGAACCACAGCATATAATTATGAACCCACGGCATATAATAACGAAACCACGGCATATAATTATGAACCCACAGCATATAATAATGAACCCACAGCATATAATAACGAAACCACAGCATATAATAATGTAACCACAGCATATAATAATAGATCCACAGCATATAATAATAGACCCACAGCATATAATTATAAACCCACAGCATATAATTATAGAACCACAGCATATAATAATAGACCCACAGCATATAATTATAGATCCACAGCATATAAAAATGGACCCACAGCATATAATTATAGAACCACAGCATATAATAAAATCATCTAACATAAGGCAGCCATGGCGTTCCATAAGTTTCGTACTATGCGAGCGGCTTCGATATTGATATGCTCGATTTTATTGACTAGATCACTAGACATATTATCCCATATGACATCACCATATTCTAATAATGGTCTAACGTAGGAAAGTACAATTTTTCAAGCGATTTTCTATCAATAAGAAATTTAAGTTTTCTAAGTATATGAAGACGCTGAGATGCTTCCAGGAGAGTTGTTTGTATGTGCATATCCCAGTGGCCAGTTTTTGAAAAATGTATGCCAAGATGTGTATGACTTTCCACATTTTCAATTTGTTGGTTGTTCAGAAAAAGTGGAGGATGTGTGGTGGGGATTCGTCTATTACTAAATAGTAAACATTCGGTTTTTGAAGGATAGAAATCGACCAACCACTGCTTTGCCCATGCACTTGTCTTTTCAAAGTCATTGTTTAATATTTGACTGGCTGTACATGCATTTTCAACAACTATATACAGGGTTGTATCATCCGCAAACAATTTAATTAAACTGTTAATTCCACATACGATATCATTTATGTAAATCAGAAATAACAGTGGACCAAGGATAGATCCCTGGGGTACACCAGCTTTGATGCTGATGAGGTGGAGTTGAGTATTACTCTTTGTTCTTTGTTTGTTAAATAACTTTTAAACCAATTAAGCAAATTCCCGGTTATCCCTGCAGTGTTTAGTTTGTAAAGAAGACCCTCATGCAACACCCTATCAAAGGCTTTACTTATATCACAAAAACACAGCTCTCACTTCTTTTCCGGAATCTAATGTCATTAGATATATCAAGTAATTGGTTTATCGTAGAGTCACCTGGGATGAAACCTGACTGATTTGAACTGCTATGGTGAGGGTACCGGGTTCGATTCTCATCATGGGTACTCTAATTTTCTTAATGTGAAACTAACCTTTAAAATTTTCTAAAACTCTTCTCTAAAATTTCCGAAGTTCTTTCCTTGGTAAAGGCACGGAAAGGAGAAAAAGACCATAACAAATTCTGTTTTCAATGTAATTTGCAACTCTCCATTCCTTGAAAGTAATGGATCACTCAAACAAAAGAATGACGTCATAGGTGGATTGTACCAAAGAGTATTATATAAAGAAGTGACGACGAATGTTCAGTGAAGTATGAGGATTCTTCAATAATTTGAAACATGTTATATAGAGAATAATACATACCCTTTTCCATATCACATCCTGTATCAGCCCGAGACACCAATATCAGCCAGAGGGCCGAAGGCCCGAGGGCTGATATTGGTCGAGGGCTGATACAGGATGTGATATGGAAAAGGGTATGTTTTATTATATTTATTACATACTTAGTAATAAAATACAGTTGAGAAGAAAATAAGTAAATAATCATGCATGGACTTCTTACATACATGTACATAGTCTAATGTCTCATAAGATTTGGGTTTGTTTCTATTTCAATGCACTTGATCCGTAATTTGAAAATATTCTATAGTATTACATGTATTTGTAAATTAAGATTAACCTTATTTTCAAAAAGTTAAAATTAAGAGAATATGAACCCACCAAAAATTGTGTATGAGTACAAGTACTGTTATTGTGGTTTAATTTACTAAGGGTGTGATATTGACGTCACAATAGCCGTATCAGCCCTGCAGGGCTGATATGGATTTGCAGGGCTGATACGGATATCAGCCCCGCAAATCCATATCAGCCCTGCAGGGTTGATACGGCTATTGTGACGTCAGCCATATCGCATATGCAAAAAACCTGTATTTATTACTAAGTGTGTAATAAAAGTCTGTATAATGTTCAATAAATAATTGGTCTGTGTGTTAGGTGAAAGTAAGTTGGCATTAAAGTCACCGACAATGATTATTTTGCTTATATTAGTATTGTAAGCTTGATCTATGGAGAGTTCAATGTCGTCCCATATGTTTGAAGGTGAGTTAGGGGGACGATAAAATGTACCATATAAACTACAATGTATATTTGTCCACGAATAACAATTTCGAGGCAGACGCATTCAACCGTGGCAGGTTCTAAATCCGATCGACGTTTTGCAAGTATATATGTGATCTTTGACATACATGCCTACGCCCCCGCCTGTTTTATTTTTCCTACAATAGCAAAATGGTGTTACGAAAATTTTTAACGAAATGTCCGAAAGTAATTCATTGTTGTTTATCCAGGTTTCAGTAAATAACAGTATACTGTGATTATGTAGTTCACTTTCAGATTATCTAGCTTGGGCTTTAAACTTTGGACATGTAAATGTACAAATGATATCCCGGTTGAAGTACCGTCAATAATTGACGAAGATGAGTAAGATGAAACAAAAGAGCCTTAATTTGTGTTTGTTGGAGGACCAGGATTTGATTCAATATCTCCTGATAATTTCAGTGTTAGCTCTGACAATTTGGGAGGCCAGTTTAAATCTTCAGTTATACAGGCATATGAAGGTATCAGGAATGGCGCAAAATGCTTATGAGTACGATTTTTTGGTACAATTTTACCATATTTGTTAGAATCGGAGAGTAATATCATCAACATGACAATAAGAACTCCATATTTTAAAGCTTAATATAAAGTTGATGCAAAAAAATCAAACACACTTAAGTACATGATCAAACGTGTAGCTTTTAAAAGGAAGTTTTCCACCCTGGATCTATAATGTTATATTTCAATACACATATCTGAAGTCAAACCTCAACAAAAACAAATATAATGAAAGAGCCAGGATAAACACTACATGAGCAGAGATATAACCAAAAGCATTTGTATGTGAAAAAACAACTACATACTAAGCGATTTGGGGATATTTTCTTAGTAGGTGAAATAAACAAAACAGAAAAACAAAAATATATACAGATGATCGTAAGAACAAACATAATGGAAATAGTGCAAATGGTTTAGGTGGATGGGAAACTTAGTGTGAAATGGCTTGGATAGATACACTTTATCTACTTTTGTTTACATTGCGTACAAAAGAGTGTTTGAAGAACAAAATACCACAGTCTAGAGGATAATGATTACATGATGTGGCCGAAGGGAATAAGATCCGACTCTTGTACGATTACAAACACCTATTCGTTATGGTCGCGGATGCTGATCTTCCCGTTAGAGGACCAGGCTTGTTTTGTGAACTTTTTGCGGCTAAGCTGCCTCGCAATGAACATCAGTCTATCGCGATATTTTGTCAGGTCCTCGTTCACAGAGATGTTCTTTGTCTCCGGATGTTCTTTAAATTTCGCCCAGTTTTTGATCAGCCTGAATTTTAGATCAACACTTTTAATCTTGGCAATGATCTGCGTAGGACCGTTACGGTTGTTGTTGTTCGGATTTCCAACTCTGTGGGACACTTCAATATCCTTAGGCTGGAGCAGGATACCCGCCTTAGCCGAGGCTTAAAGAATTAGAGATGAAGAGTTTTTATTTTTGCTTTCTGGAATCCCGGATACCCGTAGCATGGGACGCCTCCCATATTCCCTCGTCAATCTGGCGGAATAGGTGTTCGTTTTCCTTTTCAAGGCTACTTATCCGGCTATGAAGGGGTTCCACGGCTTTAGCTACTTCGGAAACCACCAGTTGAGAGATCTACTCATGTAACAACTGTTTGACGGCCGCAGCAAAGGAGGGATCTTTTTCATGCCAGTATCTACTGCAACACAGGACCTCTCTCTGTACGGTCTTGTCCGAGGGACCAATCTTCACGTTCCACAATGGAAAACGAACCCGGGACGTAAGGATCAACTCCTTACTTTGCGACTCTAGAGCAGACGCTCTTACCACTGCGCCACTATGGTGACTTGTCCATTGGAAGACGATCTTTTTATTAAGAAAATAAAAAAAAAACGGGTCTAAAAAATTTAGTTCTATATTCCCAGCTCGGTTTTTGCTACCCATTTTAGTCACAGTCTGAATGTACACGCGCAAAATCCAGATGATTACTTGTGGCAGATAGATCATTAAAATTACTTTTAAAATGTTTGCATTACAAAGTTTCGATGAAATTGTTGCCATTTTCCAAAAATACGTAAATGAAATGTCAAAGAAAGTAACAATATTGCAGATGTACTTAGTATTGGTCAAAAGGTACCATTATTACTTTTTTTCAATACACAATATATAATGTGAATCAAGTGTATTCAAAGTCGACTACATTGAAATATAATTATTGTGATAAATACATATATATCAATACCTTAATAAGTTTAGAATAAGACGATGTATTTTCTAACTAAAACCTTTTCCTAAATATATGTGAATTCTCTTGAATATTTAATTATAGATCCTCCATCCGCTGACCCTGTCATCACAGCTTCACCTCCAGGACTTCAGTACAACACCGGAACTAGAGTCACCTTGAACTGTCAACTGCCAGGAGGAAATCCTATAGCCACGTTGTCATGGAGATGTAAAAACACAGGAGTGATAGGAGCCAATCAGAGTAATTCTACTAAAGCTGTCTCTGTGTTGTCATTGGTGATGGATAGTTCCTACAACAATCAGCAGTGTAGTTGTACTGCTAATCACAGCCTCCTAGCCAGCCCTAAATCAACGAGTGTGTCACTCACTGTATTTTGTAAGTCACTTTGTTTTTTTTTCCTAAAAAAACAAACACATATATGTTGTGTAAATACATAGAAAGGTTCAATCTCCACCTTCGGGTCTGTTTTGTTTGTTGCATTTTGTAACATAGTGGCCATTTTTGGATCTGAGAAGAAGGTGAGGCTCTACACATGCACAAAAATAAATTAAACTCTTGGCTTCTTTTATTACTTTTAACTATTTTGTTATTATGAAGTAGGGATGTCAAAATATTTATTTTCCTTAGTCGATTATTCGATTGCATTATTCGAACGGTAGTTGAATATTCGGAACATTTTCTGAAAAAAAAATTATATTTCAAACGTCACTGGTACATTGCTTACTTATAACTCAAAAACACATTTACTTAAATCTTTTTATAAAGCAACATCAAAATTAATGCAGCGCACGCGTGCATTGAATTAAATTATATTACCTCCAAAACGTATGATATCCCTGTCAATCGGATTCAATTTTCTGTAAATTTTCTATTTTTCTAAGTATTAAAAAATTGCCAGCAGATATATCTGCTTATTATGAAATGAAATAGGGGCGGGGGTATCTCACACTTTTCACACCACAGGTGGCTGTGAAATTGTAAATCAGTATAATTCAATTATGCTTATTCAATTTTTAAATACTACGGCGATCGAAATATATATTCTTAAACGCAGAAGCAAAGCACTTACAATTATTCTTTCTAGATATACAATGTAGATAAAAAAAATCAACCGTTTTTGTTGAGAAAATCTTATCGACTGTCTTTAAGGAAAAAACGTTTCTTACTTTTGTAATGAGAATCCCATCTCGTCATCTGCTCTTTTATTGCATGAATTTGATTACGATATTATTCGACTGTCGTTCGATTATTCGATCGTCGGTCTATTCGACTGATAGTCGAATAGTCGACTATTCGTTGACATCCTTACTATTAAGCGATACTACAAATTCTCTTCCGTCTAAACTATCAAAAACTTATTTGTAGTATTCCCTTATCAGTGAAGCCGGGGAGGGGGGGGACTGTTTTTTTCAACGTCTGCCTCTCTATCTGTCAGACTGTACTGTCCGCCTTCAGTTGCCCAAGACCAATCCACCCCCACCCCCCGATAACTGCAGATATAGAGCTGACTTCATGACCATAAACTGGGAATATATTTAAGTCAAAATTTCAAATCAATATAACTCTTAAAAATTAAATGATAAAAAAAATAGATTTGTATCATTTGTTGGAATTCTGATATTATACACAACTGCAAAATTTTAAGAACATATGTTGAATGAAATTTAAGTTATTCAGAATCAAAATTTTGACTTCAGTCTATTCTCAGTTTATGGACATGGGATCTGATTACTTTGTATGTAAGTGTATCGTGATTATCTTCGGTTAAAAACCCAAACAATTCAAGAAAACAGTAAAGGCAATAGTATGTTGTGTCAATATAAATGGATGCCACATCATCAGTTTGTTTCAGATTCAATGATGCCAGTGTTAAAACGCACTTTGAAAAATTACACACTTTGAAAAAAAAATTCAAAGTGCGTTTAATAAGGCACCAAATGAGCGCACTTTGAAAAAATGAAATTTCCTTTAAAGTGCGTTAATATCGACCATATTAACACACTTTGAAAAAAATGTGTATGACTTGGTCAATATTCTTGAAAATCTTTGGTATGATGAATAATTGAACCTGTTGGATAACTTTTCGGTGATAAGATCACCTCTGGCCTTGAAAGTGTACTTATTATTTTTAGTTTGCGTGTATTTGATGTAAACTAAAATTTATTGAAAGTTTTCAACGTCACACCAGTTATGTAAAAACACATACATGTATTTGGGTGTATCATAGGCATCAGTATCAAGGATGGGGGCACAGGCATTTGTTTTAGAAATAATTTTAACCTATAGTATTATAAAAACACAAGGTATCTAACTCCGAATTACACTCAGTACCCCTTCCTCAGAAACGCACTCATTAACACTTTTAGATGAAATGCACTAGCAAACTTTTTATTACCATTGTCTTCTACGATAATTTATCTACACAGCTATATACGGCATGCATGTCTTTGTTTTCATTTATCTCCGTAAACAGCGTCAAAACGTTGTCCACCGAATGGAAAGTGAAACTCAACCACGAACCACCAATTAAATGAATCAGAGAACGCATTTCTAACCCCATCAAACTTAGTCTATTCTGTCAAGGTTTTTATTGAAGCGGAGCAGATCAGAAACTCTTGACTTGGGAAGATGATTGAGTATAATAAACATATTTTAATTATGTAAATATAATTGCCCTTTGATTAGGTCGATCCAGAGATATATCGAGGTGTAAAGGGGAACAAAATTTGTAATTTTCACAGTCTCTGCCCCCCCCCCCTCTTGCGGCCTGAGGGGTGGTGCCAAAACCACTAAAATTAATAGTTACAATCTTTTAAAATCTTTTTCTTTACTGCTGGACATCAAGCGCAGTCAATCTGTTATCAGTATGAATGTAATGATCATTGAGTCCTCTTCCAAAATTGTAAAATATATTGCCCTAGAGTCAGGGATTCTACTGCTAACGCGTGGAAATTTATATATTATGTAGTGAAATGCATTACTTCTTCGAAAATCTTCTTCTCTGCATTAAATAAGCTAACGAAGTATATATTTATGTTAATTGAATAAGGTTGTATCTTCCAGAATTATGAATTTTATGGCACCAGGGTCAGTAGCTCTGGTGTTGGTTTGGGTTCAGTAAAAGAAGGATATGGAAATAACGAACAGTATTCAATCTCAACGTCCATTAAACAAATATACAAAATAAGAGCAGAGCAAACACGGACCTCCGAAACATCAGAGGTGGGATCAGGTGCCATGGAGGAGTGAGCATCCCCTGCCGACCGGTCACACCCGCCGTGTGCTCGTTGTCATAATCAGGAAATAACGGAAAAAATCCTTGGTCAATTCAGTGTATAAATAATGGACTAACAATTGGTATGAAAAACGTCAGTCAGCATTTCATTCAATGATAAATTGTATTTGCTGACAAGGTCATTGTTTCGACCATAGAATTTACGAAATGATGACTTTAAACGAGACTGTTGATATTCTTGTTTCATCAACTTGCTTGTCAATAATTTACCTCGTTTAAGAAATTGTTCATACGTAGAGCACGCTCTTGCGTATCGAATCAACTGAGATATAAATACTCCGTATGCAGGTGATGAAGGTATATTGCTGCATAAGTAAGGGAAGTTGACGATAGAAAAGTTAAAGTCATCACGTTTATCATATAGCTTGGTTGTTAGATTACCATTAGTGTCTTTTTCAAGTAAAATATCCAAGTATGAAGCAGAAGTGTCGGACTCTGTGGTATCTTTTATCTCAAGCTCACCAGGATATATCGTGTCGACGTAGGAATGGAAATTATCATTATTAATTGACAATACGTCGTCGATATATCTAAATGTCGAGTTGAAGGCCACAGCAAGTGTTTTCTTCTTTTCACGCAAAAGATTTTGTATAAATTCTGCTTCATATGAATATAAAAATAAGTCTGCTAATAACGGAGCGCAATTTGTACCCATGGGAATTCCAATAGATTGTTGGAATACCTGGTCTCCAAAAACCACATAGATATTGTCAATCAGAAACTCAAGCATCTTCTTGATGTCAACTTCAGAGTACTTATGTGTGCAATCAGAATCTGTTTTAACAAAACAATTTTTCAAATGACCAATGACGAGGTAAGTAAACTTACGAGTCCCATTTTTGTTGCAGAAGCAGCTGTCAATGATATCAAAAAGCCTGGATTTTAATTTGTCGTGGGGAATTGTTGTGTATAAAGTTGAAAAGTCGTAAGTTTTTATGCTGTTGATTTTTGTAAAGTCTTGTGATTTCAAATTGTCCAAAAGTTCTTTAGAATTTTTAAGTATCCACATCTGATTTACACCACTTCTTGAATATATAGTTGTACAGTACTCTTGAAGTTTTTCCTTCACAACTGTCAATATTTTAGTGAGAAGTAACGAAAGAGGCTTGGTTGAACATTTACTGGAACCTGCAATGTATTTTTGTTTGTAAGGATTACATTAATTTTTGAAAATCTTCCTCTCTGTCTCTTGGTATCTAATAAACAAACTAAGCACATATATAATGACCAAGAATTGTAAATTGTAAATTTTATGGCCCCCAGGGTCAAGGGTTCTGGTGTAAGGGCACAGCTATTTTGACATTATGGTGAAAATGCAGAAATTCTTTGAAAATCTTCTCTGCTCCTGGGTATTGGGGTGCGAATCATTACCGATACATTTTCAAAATGTTCATTACCGCTACATAGTCATTACTGCTACAAAAAATACTTTACCGCTGCATAGAAAAGTATACATTACCGCTACATTGCCTCTTTTGTTAGCCAGTCACATATGCGTACAGTACAAACTATAAATGCATAAGACCCGTTTCCCCTGCTCACTTCAGGAAGGTGAAAGTAGGACTTTGAGCAGGATGTTTTTGTAATTATTAAAGTCAATTTTATTTAATAAAACATCAAAAAATTAAAATCAAGCACTGTTAATAGATAAAATTTTAAGTTTTGTCAAATGTTTTTTACACTATCGAAAAAATGTAGCGGTAATGAGTTGAAATTTTTGGCAATGTTTTGGTTATGTTGACCTCCCGGGTATTAAACAAACTAACTGTTTACATAATTATAATGAGCAAGAATGCCTCTTCCAGAATTGTGAATTTCATGGCCCCAGGTTAAAAGGGTCTTGTGTTAGGTTGGGGTATTTTGATTATATAGTGAAAATATATTAATTCTTTGAAAATCTTCTCTGCTACTGGGTATTAAATAAACTAATTACATAGTCATGATAAGCAAGAATGTTCCTTCCAAACTTGTGAATTTGGGCCAGGGGTTCTGGTGTTAGAGCTAGGCTCTATTGATTATATAGTGAAATACAATAATCAATTGAAAATCTTCTTTTCCGCTCCAGTCGCCCGCGTGGCGCAGTGGTTAGAGCGACTGCTCTAGAGTCGCGAAGTAAGGAGTCAATCCTTA